CACCGCAGTTTGACACCTAGGTGTCGCTTATGCAAAATTGAATGGAGTTACGCATTCGATATTAAAGGAGAAAAATAGATTTGATTTATAAATTGGTGAAATCATGAATTGAATTAAATTGCTTCGCAAATTTATTGATTGGATTCGTAGAACCAAGTGACAAAAAAAAGTTTAGACCATCATAAAATTTTGAAAACTTTGGTACTAAAATGTCATTGTAAAATAATAGATACTAAAATATACATTTTGAAGAATATTTTTATCAAATTTTAAAACATATAATATATAGGTACTAAACATTTATCAGGCTTCATAATTCATAGGGTTAATATATTTGTATGACTCGAACTTTTCACAAATTAAACAACTTGGTCAATATTTTTTATTTATAACTTTGTGGCCTCAACGATGCATCAAAGTTACGAAATTGGCCAAACCCGAGATTTGATTGTTATCTTGAACGGTCAAACGCGTTGACTAATGGTCAACTTACCACATCGCTGCTAAGTCAGTACAGACTACTCACAAATTTTGATTTTTTCCACCTATTGCCATTTATCTTTCTTATTTAAAAAATAAGAAAGATAAATGGCAATAGGTGGAAAAACCAAATTTTTTAAGTGGTGTGTGCTGACTTGGCAATTGCATGGCGCGTTCATCGTTCAAGATAATGGTCAAATCTCGGGTTGTGTCAATTTCTTAACTTTGATGCATAGTTGAGGCCACAAAGTTATAAATCAAAAGAATTGACCAGAATGTTTAATTTGTAAAAATTCGGGCCATACATGCATATTGGGCTTCTCTAACTTACATGCTTGCTCTGTTGCAGTGCCTAAAATACTTAAGTGCATTCTTCAGGCTCACAAGGTTGTCAACCCGTGAGTTGACCCAGACCCGGTCGAGTTAGTGGGTCAAGGGTTAACGGGTCATCCATGTTAGTGTGGTTTAGCCCGAAAATATGGAAAGAGTCATTATATTGTACTTATCCTGATAAATTATATCAAATTTCATCTAACATATGAGTAATAACATATAACATTACACCAAAGTAACATATCGTACATAGATCCAACATATAGTGAAAATTTATACACACTTATATAACATCAATATTCAAATGTTCAACTAAGGATTCCAAAGATTGAGTTGGGCGAAAAGAAAAATCGAAAAATAGGCGCATTTCGCAAACCAATGGAAAGAATGACACAATTTGACCTCCAACACAATACCTATAGCGGTCGACCCGGTGGGTGCGTGCGGCCCGCTTTTCTCACCGGGTCAGGGATAAAGTGGGTCAACCCGCGGGTTGACAACCTCTCCAAATCTCATACTTTGATTAGAATCTCCCTCTCCGATGACAAGGAGATTCCTCTGTTGTGGGAAGAACACGGAGAAGACCTCGACCTGCCAGATCAGTTGCACCTCTTGATTTATAGATCGACGTTGGAGGATCCGATTCCCATGGCGTGAAATGTGACGTCCACGAGGGGGGAACCAGCTTGTGAGCCCCGAAGCTATGGTGAGAATTTTTTGGTTTTGTTTTGTCTATTTTCTGTGTGATGTAATGTCTATTTTCTGTGTCGACCTGCTAATGATTTTGTTTCCACTATTTCTTGGGTGATAGCTGGACGGTGGTGCATGTATTGTCAGAGAGACACTGGTGGTCGTAGATGGTTAATTTGGGATGGATATTCCCTTTTATCGTTTTGTGTCTTGGCTTCTTTTACATATTTTGCTTCAAAATCTGCCTCCTCTTCTATTCCTTCTGTTTCTCTTAGTCACACTAACTATGCATGGGTGCCTGCTAATTGGAATGGTAAGCGTATTATGTATCTTTGGGCGCTAGCTTCCCGATCAACATCACCAACTCTTTACCCCGTTGACATGTTTCTCTCTTCTTTAATTTTCCCCCTTTCCAGATTATGAATAAAATAATGTTCGTTCACATTTATTTGTCCAGGTTGATCAAGTTGTTGAAGAGGTTACTTGGAAGCTGTAGAAAGGGTGTGAGGAAGAGCCAAATCCACAGATTTTGTGAGAGATGATTGAACATTCTTAGGTTGGTTTCTTTCTTTGTTCCTCTGGCTCGCTGATGATATGCATGGTTTTCCATTGTGGCTGGCAGCAGAATGTAAGTGGAGTGGAACTGGATCGAAGAATATATGACTATTCAAATGTAAGGGGTTTAGTTAGAGTACGGCAAATGATGATTAGATGAGTTTGAAAGTAATGTTAACAGAAAATTGACCCCATGTATAGTTGACTTCCAGCCTTTGAATTGTTGATGCGGTTGCACGAAAGAGTGAGAATGTAACAAGAATTTGCTTCAGCCATGGGGTTTCTGTGACAACGTAACTTGCCTCCTCAAGGTACACCATACGGAGCAGGCAGGGTAGCATATATATATGGTGGTTCGCAGCCGAAATGAGTGTTGCAAGGTTTTCTCCTCACCACCAAACATGTGTAATCTTAATTAGTTGGATTAGTTCATAATGTTGTATTTCTACTTGCTTACTTTTGCGGTAGTGACCACTGACCAAGCAATACTTAGTGGTCCATCCAAACTCTAATTACTCCTATATTCTGTATTTTAATTATCTACATTCTTAAACTTCCAGATTTTCCATATAAGATCTATAATGAATAAAAAAGTCGAACACAAACCGCGGCAGAGCGGGAGCTGATTACTAGTTATCATTAAATGTTAACCAATCATTATAATAGAATTAATCGCTCCGCGAACTCCTCCAATACCCTAATTTTCTCATCCTCCTCCGCCTCTTCACCTTCCTCCTCACCCTCCGTCAGCGTCCTCGCAAGCTTCTGAATCTGCTCCCGATCGAAATACACCTGAATCTCAGCCTTGATTTTGGACCCGAGCTGGTAGATTCTCTAAGCGGTGATTCAGCGTCAAATGATGGATCTCAAGCTGTACCCTCCCGATTTCTCGAGATCCCGGTGAAGGGTTTTGAGGTCGGCAACCAATTTAGATAGTCTGAAGAGAGTTGGATCGGAAGAGAGAACGGAGGTGGTCGTCGATTTTGTTTCGTGGTCCAAGATCATTGCATTGCAGGCTGGATATCGGAGAAGGAGAGGGAGAGGGAGAAGATTGGGTTGTTGATGCTCGGGTAAAATACCTCGGGTGCCACTTAAGTTTGGAGGGATAGACATACCACTTAAGTTTGAATAGGGCGTCGGGTACCATTAAAGTTGCCAAAATGTGCATCCGTCTACTTTTCCATCCAACCCAAACATTTAATTACTTTTTGATATCCAAAACTTTAAAAAACATCCAAACTATATTTCAACAAGTTTTTATCTAATATAATAATTAGAAAACCTTTAAAACATATTATTACTAGAATAACTAATCAAATAGTTTTCAATAAAATAGATAAAATAGTAAAATTACTAACTTATCAAACGAATATCAAGAAGAATAATAAATATGCTAGAATATAATAATAAATATTTAAAATAAATACTAGAATATATATTTAAACCCACTAATTCAATTAGAAGCACCATTAGAAATAGTTAAAATATTTTCACCAAAACAAAATAGTTAAAATAGAACCTTATCGATCATCATCAAAAAAAAAAAAAGGATAAATGGAAGTTGGAAGGCGATTAGAAATAATTAAATATATTTCACTAATTGAAAAAATTTAACGAAAAGAGATGAAAAGTAACCAAGTAATAAAAAAAATATAAAAGGTACAATATTCGGTAAAAAATATAGAAAAGAAAATATGACTATAAAAGCTACAACATTGTTTAGTTACAACATTTATGGAATAATTCAATTATTAGAACACATAATGATAATTGAAAATAATTATAATGATAATTGATTCTAAACTTTATATTCAAAATTTGGTTTGGTATTAAGAATTGAAAAGGGGATTCTAACGAAACAATAAAAAATGATATTTTTCATAAGTCCAAATGATTTTTTTACGATAAGAAAAATAGAAAGACCAATTATGAAATTTAGAAAATGAAATATTCTAAGAATATTCTGTCAACTTTAACGGAATGCATTTAATAGTAAACTTAAGTGGTACCGGGTGCACATATAATAGAGTTCAGTGGTGCCCGACACCCCTATTCAAACTTAAGTGGTATGTCTATCCCAATTCTCATACTTAAGTGGCACCCCAAGGTATTTTGCCCTTGATGCGCAGATCCCTGGCCACTCCCCTCAGAGAGTGGAGAACGAGGAAGTGAGCTTTTGGGTGCTTTTGTGTTGTGTTTCTTCTTCCATGGATGCTTGATCGCGCCAAGCTCGAAGATCATGGGAATTTCTTCGTCAGGGGTGGAAATTTAGGAAAAGGAAGAGAGGTAGCTTTGTCGGAGAGGGATATGGAAGAAAGGAAGAATTAGTGTTATTGTATATTATGTTGAAATTATGGGGTTTGGTTTTGGTGATAGTTTGGTTAGGATAGTTACAATGTCCACAATGCATCATTTTTTTGAATTTTTTGCACAAACAATACATGCATTGTTTGTTTGATGTTATGAAAATTATCACTCAAAATTAATGATAATACTATCTCTACTAAAACTTGAGATTGTTAAAATAGTTTTGAGTAGATTGTTGTGTTTATTTTTTTTCCCAAGTATACCCCTAATTTTATATATATTCTCATAAAATAACTAAAACCAAACAATATAAATTACATTACATCACCCATTTACCACAATGCATTGATTAAATTAGTATCACCAAAACGATCTATATGTTTCAAACATTAAACACTATTAAAAATTGTCTACCGCTTTAAATCCCGGTGGGAAGTTCGAACCATTTTACGAGCACGGTTTTAAAGCCGAGAAGCCACCAAATAATGGTTTACTGCCACCAAATCTCAAAATATACCAAGTTGTCACTTACCTTCAATGGCGGCTCCATGATCCCTTCTAAGTGTTAAGAATGTATCGTTAATGCCACTAAACACAATCCATTACAATCTAAAAAGCGAGCCACAACCTAAATTAGACAGAAAAAAACTTTTTCTTTCAATTTTATCATTAAGATACATGTCAAATTCCAACATCGGTCAAAAGTAGAAAAACGTTAAAGATTCGGTTTACTCTCTTTTTGTTACCCCTTAAGTTTCTTTACAACTACGTAACTCCTATGAACAAGAGAACTTTCCGCATTATGATCATGAAAACAAAAAAGAGTATGAAAAAAAGATTATGAGGTGAATATGGCAGGTATGAATGCAAATGAAAAAGAGGAGTCCAAGGTGGTTTTTTTTCGATTGAATTCAAGGGTCGCGAAATTTAAGCTGGGGAGTCCATTTGAGGTGCAAGAAAAGCTTCCCAGATTTTGCACCATCCACCGGGAACGAATCCTGGAACTCCCCTTCCATCAATACTCTAGTCAGCGTCATTATCACTCTTCCAATTTTGTCCTGCCCCACAAAAGAACAGGGGTTACAACACCACGAAGCACGTTACTTCCACGGCAACCAACCGCATAATGAGATCGATCATCAACTGAAAAGAGTAATTACAGCACACAAGCAAACATCATATATACCTTTCCAAAAGTGTCATGATCCCACACCTCCAGCATCAGCATCTCATGGAGTGCATCTTCCACGACGAAGTCGAACGTCTGGTTCCACACAGGATTCAAGCTCTCTTGCACAACCTGACCAGGGGGAAAACCATGATTATGGAGGAGTGATGGGAATTGTATGTAGGTTGAAGTTTCTGCATTTTTTATTGCTCACCCTGGTTTTGGCTCTTGCGTCGGATTTCTTCATGATGAGGACAACATAAGGATCGGCCTTCCCCATCACATCCACCGCCGGCAAGTCCTCGGCGGCCACCACATTCACTGAGAGAACTCCCCTCACGATCACATTCTTTCTAGATGCGGCCGAGGCGAGGCTTGGCTCCTCGCCAGCTTCGTTCCCGCCCTTGATCGTCTTCTCTAACGTCGTCAGTTGGAAATCCGGGTTGAATGGGTTCTTCAAGCTGCTGTCCATCCCATAAGGAACGTATAGCAGCTCCAGATGCACCTAAATCAGGATTATTACTTAGGGTAATCATTATTAAGAGCTTAATTAATCAATGGTTAGATTAACACTGAGGTCAATTGTTAACATACCTCTCCTCGGTACTTGTTGTCTCTCTGGATGTTCAAATCTTTGACCAGTTTCAACCAGACGTCCTTGACTTTCCCAGGCTCGAGATCTTTCAACGCCACCTGAGCACAGCCAATGAGTTCAGCCGCCGAAATCCCTTCATCGTCGAACACTCTGACCGTCAGATGCTGAGTGGATGCATCCTCGACAACGAACTCGAAGTGCTCGTTCCAAATGGGGTTCAATTGGTTGTTCTGGAAAGAAATGGGGATTAGAATTTTTTTTTTATTTTACTTACTGACCAGGATCCACAACGAGGAGGGCAAAACAAGTGTTGCTATGGTGCTTTCTTACTATAACTTTGCTGGTTTTCGTTCTGTCACGCAGTGGACGGATGAATACGACGGCAAAAGGGTCTGATTTCCCGATGACGTCCTTGTTTGATAGCTCTTTGGCTTGGACTAGTTTCACATCCAGTATTCCTTCTGGCTTAAGCTCCAAGTCACTGCAATGTGGGCAAAAGTTTGGTAATCTTTCTTCAAGGGGTTATCAGTTATTCATGAGGATTTATAGAAGGTACATATAACTTTCGTACTCGTAGTCACCAGGCAGAATTGGTACGATTTTCCTGACTGGCCATGTGATGGAGTCTTCAATGGCGTCCTTTATAGTTTCCTGCACAAAAATGATCGAATCTTTAATAACTGGTTATTGCATAAATATGACACCAAAGTTCCAGAAAGGATTAAGGAACTGACCTCAATAGCATCAGATAACCCGGGTATTGATGATATCTCGCCTCCAATTACTTTAAGCCTAAAATCTAATTGTTTCTGCAGATAGAAACATAGGGAGGAAAGCAAACATGTTGAGATCTGCTGCTATGACTGCTCGCTCACATTTATGCTAGTCAGGGAAAACCAGGCAGACTCACCTTTTCCCTTAGTGAATAAGAAATAGCTGCAAAACCAGGGAACTCGGGAACAAGTGGCTTGAAGATTAACCTGAAAACCCCAGTGAATCCAATATCTTTTACCTATATGGAATTACAACACCGAAAAACCAAACAGAAATGAACAGATAATTTGGAAAAAATAAAGGACAGAGAACAGACAATTCTCAATCTGAATCTTGAAAATCAATGTTCCTATCTTGCGATGGAAGAAACTAATGCTTAGAAGACAAGGAAAGTCATAACAAACTATATCAGCATACATGCAATTCTTTCCTCCCTTGGACAAGAACAGTAAATCATATCAGGAATTCACCATTGTTTACATCATTCTTGATCTTAAGAGTTCTCAGCTACCCAAGTTATGGACTTGGAGTACGAAGGTAAGTTAGAAAGGAGAGTGAAGAATACCTGTATAGGAAGAGCAACACCAACTCTAGTGTTGATATCAAGCACAATATTAGGATTGCCATCCCATTGCATCTCTAACTCCATTGTCACACCTCCTGAGCCACTTTCCTCTTCAACTATGCTAATTCCTGGTTAGCAATCATAGCTCTGCTCAGTCACACACCAACCGAATCGAGTTAAATCAATATCCACGAGAGGCAAACGAACCTGTGAACTGGGGAGCTACAGTGCCAAGAGTCAGCTTGGAGAACTTGAGAGATGAGAGAATAGCTGGTCTATACTCTTCCAGAATCGGCTCCACATTGTTCTTTATCAGTTCCGACGCTGCCTATCCAGCAAAAGAAGAGAAAAATGGGAATCCGTTTCGAAACTTCATGGAAAACGTAATCAATCAATGTGCTTACCGCATCGACGTAGGGCCAAATCTTGTCGAGCTGGTGATTAAGCCAATTCAACTGCAATTCCATAACAGTTGGGAAGCAAAATGTCAGAGCTCTGGATTCGCAACGTAACAATGGCGGATACACGTAGTATTAGTTACTCACCTTCTGCCTATTGGAGAAGACTACCCACGACGGATAAAACTCCGCCGGGAGAATTTTCCGAGAGTCCTGTACCGTCATTCTAGCAAACGCTGCCACCGTCTTCGCCTGACAACACCAAGGAATTAGGGTTAATTAAAAATCCAATGCCATTACGCCGCAGGAAAAATAAGGCAAACGGAAATCGGAGAAATATACCAAGGCGGAGCGGCGAGCGGATCGGACGGACTCGTAACGAGCTAAAGCGACGATGAGACCGATCCCAATGGACACTCCGACGAAGAAACCGAAGAAGAAAGACATCGTCGTCGTCCTTCTGTTTCCTCAGGTGGTTTCGTCTGAAAATTCTTTCCTCAATAGCTTTCCGGCGGATTAAGCGTCTCATTTACGCCGTGAGGGAGGAAGGGACGCTCGTGATCAGAGAGCGGGAGAAGAAGCAAGAGCCATTGATGAATCGCCGATTGGCAACGTGTGATTGGGGGACGGAGTCAGAGGAGATCACGAACGGTTGGTCATGGTGGAAGCAGTACGGACGTGGTGGAGTTACAGAAGAGGAACAATTTGGCAAAAACGGGTGCTCTGTTTTCTGATTGTGTGGGCAATTAAGCCGCTCTTAGGAAACTTGGGAGGTTATCAGGTTAATAATAATCTAAGTAAGGATCCGTTTCTTTTTCAATTCTTTCTTTATCTTTTGAAATGCCTTTTTTATCTTTTTTTCAAATCAGCACAGGGCCGTTGGCCAAAAGAGTTTTATCGAGAAATATGATATATAATAATTGATATAATAGATTATTTGAAATGCATGAAATGATTGTTTTCTACTTTAGTTATGCAAATAACATTCCTGAAAGTGCTCCATCTATACAAAATGTGTTTAGACCTCCATGAAAAGAGAGAAAAATATATAATATAAGCATTTATAACTATTGAATGAAAATAATATATATAACTAATTGTCATTATTGCTTAATTAAACCATATAGTTGAATATTAGAGTTGCTTCTCATAATACAAACATAATCAACCTTTAGAATTGAAATAAAATGTCTCTCATAGAGTTTATTATGTTCTTTAAGTTTTTCCCAATATAGAGCATTCTTTTTTACCACACTGTTGGTAATAAATCTGAAGTTGTTTGATTTGAAATATAATAGGGCATGATGCTAACTTGTCGCAAATAGTTAGTTGGACAATGTGTAGTGTACGGACTTACCAAATTATTCTCAGATCGTAGACATGTCTAGCAACAATGTAGTAATTTTCATGCAACAAATATTTTTCATGAAATAATTCAATAAATAAAAGGGAAAATACAATATATTAGCCATAACTATCAAGCAGCGGGGAATTATAGCCACAACTATCGAAATACAAATTATTAGCCAATCGTTAAGTTTTCGTTAACACTTCTGTTAGTAATGATGACTAAATTTTTACGATGGTGAGCTGGCTCCCACATGGTAGTCATCATATCATATTTTTTAGGCCAAATACACTTGTATAACCAAAACTTTGACGTTTTTGCCAAATATAGCCACTTTTGGCGAAATACCAGAAATAGCCACTTTCGTCCCATTGTTTGACGGTGTTAGTTAACGTGCTGACTAGACTAACAGCAGAGGATGACATGGCATATTTTATTCAAAAATAATTATAGGTGGAAAAACAAAATCAAATTAATAAAATGTGGTTTTCACGAAAACAATAAAAACTTTCCCCTTTTGTTTTGGGGAAAAACAATAATCAAATTAATAAAAAATTATAAAAACAATTATCTCTTTATTGAGAACCAATCAATCAACTAAAATGAGATTTTCAATTTTGGGTTCCCAGGTTTCTCGACCCACTCCGTCCACCTTCTTTTTCCATTTGCCGCTCCCTTCACCTCCTTTAATCCACTCTGTCTTCCTTGGCCAATTTTGTCGCCGTTATTAAAATCCCCAACTCCAATCACCCTAATTTTTGTCCACGATTTCAGTTTCCTCTTCAAATCTCCCCAGTTTTTGAGTGAGGGAGAGGTGAACGCTGGGTTTCCAGGTCTAATCCCAGGTCATTCGAGCGGTGGCGGGATTGTTGAACAAAAAGATCTGAAGAAATCGTGGAGCCAGTACCGATTTTGGAGTCAACGGCAATGAAGAGGGAGATCAGTCCACGTCGATTTGCTTCCGATGGCTGGGGCTGTTCAAGATCTGTGAAACTGGAAGCGGCTAGAGGCGACGGCGGAAGGCATAAGAGGAAGGTGATTCGTCGAAGGCGACGCAGACGAAGGGGCGACGTTGGGGAAGCAACTAGCGGCGGCGGCGGAAGGCAAAAGAGGAAAGTGGTTCGTCGGAGGTGATGTTTCATGTAGGAACGACGATGAACTGCGACGGCGTGGATGGCGAGGAACAACGGAGGCGGGGGCGGTGGTTTCCTCTTCTCCTTTGCTCTCTATTTTGATTTCCCCATTTCTCTCAGGACTTGAGAACAGAAGCGACAGGATGTTGAAGGTAAAAGCTCTGGCTGGTCGTTTATAGCTTGTCTGTGGCTGGGTTTCGTTCGTCGGAAAAACAAGAACCAGAGAAGACATATCAGATATGGAGAAGCAGGGTTTGCCGGTCGCTTGGTTCGTCGATCGATAAGATTGGAGGCAAGGAGTTGGATCAGAGAAGATGAAGAAGGGATTAAGAGATGGAGAGTTCATTTCTTTTGCTTATTTATGTAATTAATAAAAAAAGATAACACATTTTCAAAGTTTTTTTTTTTACTTTTGTAAATGACGTGTCGTCCACCTGTCAGTGAATACTGAGGTGGGAAAGAAAGAAAAGGTGAGTTGGCAGCCAGATTATCATTCCGTTAATTTGACTAACAGTGTCACTGACGCCGTTAAACTATGTAACAGAAATGGCTATTATTGTCATCGAACTTTCAAATTTTTGGCTATTATTGGTATTTCCTCAAAAGTGGCTATTATTGTCACAAACGTCGAAGTTTTGGCTATACAAATGTATTTGGCCTATTTTTTACGATGCTGACATGGCCTTCTACGTTCAAAATTTGAAAACAGTAACGGGCTGTTAGCCAAATCTTGACTCATAGCAATAGTTATGGCTAATAATTTGTATTTCGATAATTATGGCTATAATTCCCCGCTACTTAATAGTTATGGATAATATATTGTATTTATCCTAAATAAAAACCTATAAAATACATATTACATGAAATATATGTTACTCATTAATTTGATAAATGAGCGAGTGTATGAGAAGCATACATTTATTTTAAAAATATAGAAGTTTTAAAGTGTCTTCTGGGTTGAATGAGATCGCATATTCTCATTATCGCTAACTGACTTATGCTTTTTTGCAATAAATAGATCAAAATGTGCCTTAAAACTTTTGTTTCCACCAGTGTAAAAGAATTGTTGGAACCAAAGGATTGTAAAATCGTCTCCAAAAAGTTGGTAGTAGAGTATTTTATACTGAAATCATAATTTAACAATGGTTCAACTGTTTCATATTGATAAATGTCACCTATCGATTTAGCCTATGATGTGAAGTTTTATTGTCGAACTTCCAGTAGATACGATCTTTCAATTCAAACTTTAAATAAAAAATCATAAAAATATTGACATTATCAAATACCCCTCAAACCTAAGAAATTACCATAATCGTATAAGGAAAAAATAATCCAAATGATAATATTGATTCAGGATTTTAAATTGAAATTGAAATTGAAAAAATCTGTCAAATATAATGTGTGTATTGATCTGATTGGGTCTTCATCTTAGACTCAAATATAATGTGTGTATCTAGGCTGCCCACTAATTTCCTGTAGACCTTGATAATCGGTTGTTTTTATATGTTTATATTATATATTCTACTAACATAAATCAAAACTCAACAGAAGAGGGCCAAGAATACTCACTAAGTAAAGCAAAAAGGCAATTATTTCACACTATCTCATCCCCCCAACACACACACACACATACACATCTTTTAAGTGTGTTCTCTCACTCTCTCTTAACCTTCCTCTTTGTTTTTTCTTCCAACTCTCACTCTCTGAGTTTTGTATCTCACCACTCTCACCCATTCCCTTCCTCTTTCTTCCCACCCCCTAGAATCGATAGAAACCTAGAAACATCTCAATTACTTCTACAATTTTGAGTTCGAAATGATTTTTCTTCATTCACAGTCGATAGTGTGAATCAAAGTAATTGAAATATGGCGAACAGATGGCCGCTTATTCCTTCACGGAGCAAAGTAGTTTGATAGCTTGTGAATAAACTAATTACCAAAAGCGATAAAAACATAATCTGAGCCGTCACACGTTGATGTGAAAAAACTACTCATTAATTCAAATTTTATATATTACTTTTAGAATTTTTATTTTATTTTATTTTTATCAACTAGCGCATTCCTCCATAAAACATGAGTTCACCAAACTCGAGTCCTTGAAGTTTAAGTCTGGTATATCACATGAAGCATTAATGCTTGTACAGGACCGATCCATATACATTGTCTTCATGGTATGCTCTAACTGTGTCATGCTAACTCGACCATGTGCCTAGGTATAGTTATATGCATTCTAATAATTAAGTTTCTATCTATTCACAACACCAAGATAAAAAAACAGTCATAAATGCATCTAGTGTTCGATTTTGACTACCTCATAAAATACTACATTTGAACCAACTACCACCGATGTCACAAATAATAAGTATACCTCTAAATCATACATATAATATTTCAAACATCACAAATATTAAGATTAAATTAATTATTATAAAGAGTAAAAATTGTATAATGAGGTTAATTATAACTCATTTATATGTTAATGCCCTTAAATTCATCAACACATCCAAAAATGGAGAAATGAACATCACATTAAACCCAATACATCTCATTATTGTCGGGTCTATTAATGCCAGATTAGCAAAAGGTTTAACGTTTAGCAGTTAACTCGACTAAAATTTATAGAATCAGTCACCTATTGTTTGTACAAAACATTATTGCTTCGTAGTAGTTCTGAAAATTTATATTAATTTAAAGTTCTACATCGCTTTTGCATATTGAATACTGCAATCGATATGCAATATTTCAAGCATTGAAATTCGTGATGCAATTTTAAGATTACCCGTCATTTTATAGGTTATAAAAATTATAATCACGTATTAAACTTTGCTTTTCGGAAGATTTAATAGGCTAGCTAACCGTGATGGAAAAGTCCTTTGCGTTTCAAATCTTCGTGTAGTGTATGTTTACAATTTAAGAAGATAAAATAAATTTATTTAGTGTAATTGGCTGTGATTATTGTTTTTGTTTGAAGATACCATGGTTCAAATCTTGATATTGATACTTTTTTTATAGGAAGTAGATAAATAATTTATAATTGTGATGACAAAAATACTCTTCATACTTTTACTCTCGTTTCAAGAAATTTGAAATAGAAAATCTTAAAACATCGAATATATCTTACAGAAAGATCTTCTTCAACCAAGTAGGTATTTTACCTGAAATTATTATATCTTATAGAAAGTGATGAATTGTGAAATCGAAACTCAAGTAACATTGATTCAAACATTAAACATTAAATTGTATGTGTAGTCTGTGTGTAGCCAAAACATGGATCTTAGTGACAAATATAGT